TTCAGACCTCGCTTGACTACCAAGATAAAATTAATATAGCCAATTCCACAGCACGCTGCCAGGGTGAATATGACTCCCACATTAACGGCACCTGATTTCTTGGTCTCATTTAGGAGGTTAAATCAAAACCTGAAACAGTATACCTGATAAGGGACTGCTTTCTCAGAGCAAAGTTTGCATATAGAAAAGTGGCATTATGTCTCAAGAACATTGGGATTCAAACAAGAGATGAAACTAATTGATCTTGTTTGTGCTGAGTAGAAACGGTTTGAAAAATCATAAAAATTTTTTAAAAAACTTCACTTACTGCAAGGGTTTTTCCAGATCCAGTCTGAGCGATGCCAACCATATCTTTGCCACCAAGGGCAACTGGCCACCCCTGAGACTGAATAGATGTTGGTTCAGTCCAGTTTTGTTTGGCGATAACATCCATGACATAGCCTGAAAAATAAGATAAAATGTCTAGTTAGTGAAAGTCAACATTACTGACAATGACAGAATTTACTGAAATGTTTCAGGGTCTATGACATCACACTTATTTTTTTTCTGTCCCCATGGTTTAGTTAAAATTAAAATTACATTTAAAAAATAAACTTACACACAAATTACTTGAATACATTCTTTTCTTGAGGATGTAGTCTAAAATTTCTGAATTTAATCAATTATGAGAGAATATTTGGGTGTAACCATAACAACTTAAAAACAGTGACATTCTCAATAAAACACCCTATCAAGTAGATTGGCATAATCTTACGTATTTTTTGAATAATATCAAATAAAATAAATGGAACAAAACGGTTATCATTATTTGGGAATCAAGTGAGTCAAGTCAACTACCTAAAGTGTCAATGTGGTGTTACCACCACTCAAAGAGCCATTTTGCAAATTTATGCAAGGAAATCAGAGAGAAAGTGATGATACTAACTGCTGCATGCAAGTGTGCCTTTATGGACCTTGCTTTGTGCCCTGAGTCAGAGTCATGCTGGAACAGAAAAGGGTCTTGCCCAAACTGTTCCCACAAAGTTGGAAGCATAAAATTGTCCGAAAAGCTGAAGCATTAAGATTTCCCTTCAAGGCCAACCCCTGAAAAACAACCCCATGGAGTGCTCCAGAGTCCAGTGGCAATGGGCTTTAAGCCTAGTTTATGCTTCTGCGTCACGTCTGCGCCGTAGCTACGCCGTAGCTACGGCGTAGCTACGGCGTAGACGCAGACCCCTACGCCGTAGC